GGGCAGCAGCACGGGGAAGCCGCTGCGTGGCTGCACGCCGTGGGCGATAACCGCAGCCCAGAACCCCTTGGCCAGGCACGGTGATGGCTCTAACCCCGGCACGGCTGGGGAGGCAGCTCTGCCACACACCCAGGGCATCACCAGAGGTCTAAGGGGGGGTGTTAGGCAGAATTAAGGTTGTTTGCACCAAGAGCTGGGCAGGGCACAGACACTGCCCTATGCACAGCGCTCTGGGTGTGAGCCTGTCCCCATACGAGTGGGTCGTAATAACCGTGGCCAGGGCAGATGTTCCCTGTGTGAAACTGGGTCCAAGTGGCCTCGGGAAGGTGCCACTGGGCTAACACACAGCCAAAGAGCAAGGGGGCTGCTCTGCACTTACAAACTGGGTGCTCACATCCACGCCATCCTGCCCCCCTGCTCCCCAGCTGCCTGGGGCAGGGGCTACTCTGGGTGAAGCAGGAGGCAGAAAGAGCAGTTTGGTTTTAGGAAGCCATTCCCAGATGCTGCAAAAAGCTCCGTGGAGCTGAGAGGTGGCTGTGCTCCCCTGCGAGAGCAGGATCCGTCCATCAGCAGCAGGGCTTGACTCTGGGTGGCACCAAGCAAAGTCATGCGTCTGCTCTTGTGTAAGGTCCCAGCCCAGGAGTCACACAGCCCGCGGGGAGAAACACCTTCATTTCTAATGGCTGCAAACATAGCTAGCCTGTAAAATGGCCTGTTCTGCTTGCAGAGTTAAACAGCAACGCCTGCTTTTGGAACAGGGCTTGCCCACGGTGAGTGATTCAACCCAGAGGACCCAGCAGCAGCAGAAGCACTTCACCCCATGGAAAGGCACAGATCTGGAGTTCATTCCCAGAGGAATGACCCTGGTCTCCTGTAGCTGTTGTTTTAATTTATTCCCTTTTGTTTCCATTGCATACCAATGGGGCCATGTGCACAACTCCTGATAATCAGCATCACTCCACCTCATCACAGCTTACTAAGCAATCTTTGGAAGTGAGATTTCAGCTAGGAAGTCTAACCACAGCAGCTTTCATGCCTGACACGTATGTTACACTGTGGTACCCCCTGGTTTCGACTAAAGCCAAGGATTGGACGAGAATCCTTTCTTCCCAAAACAATCTGGTTTAATGAGAAGTTAAGGTTCTGTTTCAGGCCAAGAATGCTTTGAGAGAGACCTTAATGCTCTCCTGTTTTCTTATTAGATAAACAGGGTAAGACTACCTTTGAGACTGCAGTAGTCGTGCATCTGCATTATGCAAGTGATGTGCAAGAGGACAGAGCATTAAGCAGCCTAATGCTGGAATCAGCAGTGGGTAAAAAGGAGTGGTCAGAGGAGAGGAGCACGTGGATGAAAATGCAGCATTAAACCATGCAAGAGCTGGCATCGGAGGGCTGACCCCTTCACTCAGAGCTTAATCTTGCACCTTCCTCTCCTCTTTCACTTACACTGTGCTCTCGATGCCTTCAAAGTCGATCATTTACACTTGAAAGCCTGGAGCGCAGCGCTGGGAGGAACCTCTCCTGCGCATCAGGCCAGTTGAAGCCTGCCAGTCCCCACCGGCAGCGCTGGGTGTTCCCCTTGTTTGCAGGGGGAGCAGGGAAGCAGCATCACTCACAGCAGCCCTGCATTTACAGTCGCCCAGATAATTGCTCCCCAACCCCAGCCCTCTGGAGCAATCCCTCCATGCCAGGCAGCAGGAACCACAGGGAGCAAAGCTCTCCTGCTCTGACGGAAACCACAACCCACAGACTCCAAGGAAGAGATTTACCTTTGCTCCAGCTCAGCCCACATCTCCCATCAGCAGCATCTCCAGCAACAAGCCACTCCTCAGCCAAGTGCCCATGGGATCCCCACCATCACCTGATGTAGGAGCAGCCAAAACAGCCCCAGTCTGCAGACTGACATGAACCTGAGCGAGGCAATCAGCCTCTCTTTTATAAGGGGAAAGAGCTGCTGGGCAGCCAGACGAGCTACAGCTGCCTGCTGGCACTGCCACAGCTGATGCGAGGAGCTGCAGTGATGGCTGCTCTTCTCATGGAGAGGCAAGGGAAAGGCTGCTCCTGCCTGTCGGTGCCTACTGATGGCATTTGGGGTGCCTGGGAGATGGACAGGAGGAAAGCAAGAACAGAAACCACATCTGTCTCCAGGTTCAGCCAAACTCAAGCTGAGTTCCCAGGGTCTTGGTCTGGGTACCTCTGAAAGCAGACTTTGTGCTACTTAATTCTGGGCATCATACTTTGCTTGATTTGTGCCTGGAAAGCAAAATCATAGCAGACCCCAGCCAAAAAAACCCCAGCCATAAAGAGAAATCACAATATTTCAGAAGGAACCTGAAGAGTCGGTAAATGTACCCTCAGTGCCTTGATGCAGATTATACAGATTGTGTTTACACGGTGCAATGATGTTAGAAAAGACCCAAAGAAAACACTCAGCTTTGCATTTTGCGTGGAGTATTCATCTCCTTCTTAACTATCAGTCCCATACTGGCTCAGACATATCATTTCCATGTCTACATGAGCCTGTCAAGACCTACCGTCCCAATTAAAAGCATTCTTGCGCACATCTTTCATTACAAGTATCAAATTCAGGAGAAGTGGTTTGTTAAATTCTGGTATCAAAGAACGTCAGCGGTACTGGGCCACAGTCTCCAGGAGAAATTGGTCGTCTTAATAATAGACTTTGTCACCGAGCAGCAGTTTCGGTGTGGGTGTCAGCAGGGAGCCTTGGGGCTGGTGTCCCGCAGGAGGTCGGGGAGGTGGGTTGGTTACTGCTGGCCCGACACAGCTCCAGCTGGAGAACATCAAACCTGGGCCGCAAGACCCAGGGTCCCGCTGGAGTCACCCCAGCTCTGTGGGAGAGGACTGTCGATGTCCGAGGGTTTTTAACCACTTCCCAGCAGGGTCTGGGCAACAACCGGTAGCTGAG